AAATAAATAAATAAATCCTCCATACCACACGAAATCAGAAAAAAGCAGGGGTAGCTATCTTGGTTGCCAAGAATATCAACTTCAAACCAAAAATCATCCAAAGAGACAAAGAAGGTCACTACATACTTGTTAAGAGAAAACTGCAAGAGGAAGAGATAACAATAATAAAATATGCACCCAGTGTAGGAGCACCCTACTATGCAAGACAAATATTAACAGACATGAAAAATCAAATGGGCAATAATACAATAGTAATGGGGGACTTTAGCATGCCACTGTCACAAAGAGATAGATCAACTAGGCAAAAGAAATTAGCAAAGAACTAACAGAATTACACCAAACTGGGAAGGAAGAGGAAAGCTGGACATCTGCTCAAAGCCAACAAGACTGAGGAAAGGACAGGATTCCAAGTGCAGTCGCTGGTTACCTCAGGTACTTAACCATTATCAAAAACAGCCACGTGGCAGAGCAGCTCCTGCAGCCGGAAGGATGAGGCGTGCAGATGCTCCTTGTTCAATGGCCAAGTTCCCTTCCTAGCACCAGCTTCGTGAATGCCTTGGTTGCCCGATGAGGAGTTGTAAATCCTATGTACATTATAAGACTCAGAGCAAAAAGCTACTCACAGCAAACTCCAACTTGATGACTTTGCTTTTACTTGCACAACTCTTACACGCAGAACTGTAATGTATAACAATATAAAGCTACAGTGCTATACAGTATAGTATGATCAGCAAAAATTATAGCACTGTATAAACAGTGTTTTGTACAAAAAAAAAGACAGCGAGGCTCTAGAAACAAGATGTACAGAAGAATATTTAAAAAAACAGACAGTGGTAAGTTCGAGCAATGGGTCGTAAGTCAGCACAGTGTGCCTGGTCATAAGTCCAAGCAGTCATTAACCAGTACTATGAGAACAGGGACAGAAGAAAAAACCTGACAAACCACCCCATTCTGATTGGGTCCCCACATGCCAAGTGAAGCTGAATCTTTCAGATTGTGTCTGTGATAATGAACCACCAGCTGCTGCACTTGTGCCACCTGTGAATGATGTAGAAAGCTTCCAGGTGGTTGGCACGGGCCCAGGCAGCCCTGCTGCTCCAGTCTCCAATACCCAGCCCCTCCTGGTCACTGCCACTTGTTACACAAGTACCTAAAATACAGCATAATCAAAATGAAATCTTAACATCTGCCTGTTTTCTCGATTTTAAATGGAGACGCAACTGCTATGTCCACCCAAGGGATCCCAACGACTGATGGGGGGATTGAACTCAGGACACTGTGCTTTCCAGGCAAGCACTTACTCTACTGAGCTATCTCCTTCGCCTAATTCCTGTCAAGCCTTGATGACTTTAACACCCAAGGCTTTCCCAGCCCATCCCATCCTCTTACTGCTTGCCCTAGGTCAGCCCTTCTTAACCAACCCGCAAGACCACACCAGCAGACTCCTAGTCTCTGGCTCCATTTTTCTCTCCCATACACCATCAAAGTGATGGGGAGACACATTTTGCCACTTCTTCGCTTAAAAATTCTCAGTGAATTCCAAGCCCAGGTTACTCAGGGCTTTCCACTTTGAGGCCCCACCTAATTCTCCTTACCACTCTGCCACATACCTGGAGACCCAGCACCGTGAACAACTACTCATCCTGTAGCCTACGTGTCACCCTCTGGAAGGCCAACATACCCACCCCGCCGTCTCCTCGCACGCATCTGCAGGGTTTGCTCTGTAAGTCTGTGCTCAGGGTCCTGTTCAGCCTGCTGTATGAACTACTGGCGCCCTGAGAGGAGAGGCCACGACATCACATCCACACCACACGAACTCCACAAACCTTTCTTGAACTGATCAACCCTGGAACCGACTTCTCTGTCGTTTAACCTCACCATCGACCCCTTCCCCGAACAGCACCCGTGACACTTCCAGCGCGTCAAGACCACGCCTGTCAGAGGTCCCCGTCTTCTGCTAGACCAAGAGCTCCTGGGACCACCTAAGCCGGCTGCCTGCGCACTTGCAGAGAAATGGTCGCACGGGCTCGGCGAAGCCGGGGGAGTTCTTCGGGGACCCCTGTCTCCTACCCCTCCGCCCAGCTCAGCCCACAGCCCACAGCCCACAGCCCAAGGACGGGGTGGCAAGATGCGCCAGGTGCAACCCAGACCCCGAACTGTTGCACGCTCTGCCATGCAGAGCGCTTTACCCGCAGCCATGCCCACCCGCAGTCCTCCCGAGGACAGTGTGGAGCTCCCTGCAGGCTCACCGGCAGACGGAATTCCAGATGCTCCTGTGCCATGAGCAGCAGGTACCTGTTCAGGTTGCAGGACAGCGCCATTGCAGCTGCTCTCTGTGCGCCTGCGCGGCCGCGCGGGCCCGCCCCCTCTCTCCGCTCAGAGCCGCTCGCGCCGAGGCCGCCCGGAGGGCCGGAAACGGAAGCCGGCCAGGATCGCGCTGCCCCGGCAGTCCCCGCGCCTGGACTGTGAATCCCGAGCTAGAGCTGGAGCTGGTGGTTTGCAGGACCAAGTTGCCACCGGGCCGTGCAGTTCCCGGGGATCGCCCCACCTGGATGTACTTCCAGCTTATATGCATCCCTTCGAATCCTTCAAAACTGGACTGGATAAGTTTGAGTCATTTGTGGGAAACTAGATGGACCTTAAGACTAATGTTAAGTGAAATAAATCAGACACACAAGCCTAAATATTGTTTCCAGAAAAGAGAAAAACAGTTGGAAAAGCAAAGTAAAAGATACGATAACAGGAAACAGGGTCATAGAACTTTTGCAAATGAGAAGGGGCTAAAGAGATGGAGGGAAGGGTGTGGAAGAAGACAAAGAATTAGGATGTGTGCTGTGCAGGTACCAGCTCTCCTTTACGAATGTAATTAGGCACTGAAACCTGCACTTTTGCAAGTAAAAATAAAACGAATGAAATTCCACCTTTTTGGTGTAGACTTCGCGAGCCGTCCTAGGATCCTAGTGCTGGCTCATCTGCCCTACTCTTCAACACTGTTCTTTTGTATTTCTGCACTAACTTGTCCAGGCATGTGCTTTTTAAGCCAAACAGTTCTTCCAGACCTAGGACACCTCCTGTAGTTTACATTGTGGTTGACAGAAACCAAAGAAGTGTCTTTCTTGAAATAGTAATTATTAGGTTGTATTATCTATTAGCATCACCCAAGCAATCAAGCCAATACTAGATTAAAATAATTGAAAGTGGCTCAAACAATCACATGCATAGGTTTCTAATACTAAACATAAAATGTACTTAGTACATATTGTATATGTACCCTTGCTTTTGAGAATACTGAGATCTTTGCCCTATTTAAAACCATTTATTGTACATTCCACCATGATAGTGTACAAAGTACAAAAGAGCAAAGGTCCTGCACACCAGCACCATGTGCCAGAACATTGTTGATGCTTATAATAATTAAAAACACAGGCCAACAATGGCAGCCTTGGTCTCACACTTCAGTGCTACCATCCACCAGCCATACACTTTTAAGTAAATTTCAAAGCCTCTCTGAGTCTCACTTTTGTCCTCAGAAATGGACTAATACTGCTTTCTTCAAAAGGCTGTTAAAGGATTATGTGGACTGTTCATTAACTATGTAACACCATCTTGTATAAGGCCAACGAAAGGTATTTAAGGAGGACATTTTTCTTCTTTTAATAAAATGATGAGAATTCCTCCTAGCAAGAACTCTGCCATTGTTACGAACATATCTTCATAAGCCCCCTTGCAGTAAGTCTCTGAGAAGCACAGATACCTCTGGACCCCAAGGCCTCAGAAAAGCCTCTGCATGGGATGAGGAAGGTTTTTAAATTGTTTCCTCTTGAGAGAGAGGCTAAGGTGAGTCAGAAAGTCAAATGTGACGTTAGCAGAAGCATGTGTCTGATAGGCCCTAACCCAAGAACAGGTCAAATCATAAGTAAAATTACTAAACATGTAACATAGCAATTGGACAACTACTTAGGGAGTGGCACAGAACTACTGATTTTCATGCCTGGATTAGTAAGATACTGTGCAGAGAAAGCAGGCAAGGTTATAGAGTCTACAGAAACCAAATGCAATTAGGTATTACTGCTTTTT